GCCACCGCGGCCAGAAGCCTAGCGCAGTATATTTGAACAAGTTATTTAAACCAGTTAATACCGCAGTAAAATTCGAAACGCAGTTCATTTCCAGAGAAAATATACTATAACCAACATATCCAAAAAAATTCGAGTTAAATTTGAAACTTTTGAATCTGAAAGTTGTGAACAGAGGAAATACATTGACTCATTTTAAGCGACATAACCATATATGCGGTATACCCTAATCAGGGAAATAATGAGGTTGCTTTCAACGGGGTTTTCTTGTAAGAAAAAAACAGATTCTACTCTAAAATTAAGTTAGAAGAGCCAATAGCCCAACATTTAATAAGAAAGTCGAGTAATGCATATGTTTTTAACATTCATGCTGAGGTGCGAATCTTGCAGAAATATGCAGATAACATTCAGAGCATGGAATGAATTTATGCTAACCCCTATAACAAACCTAACTTCTCTACAATCAATCTGAGTATGGTCTCAGCCGGTGTCTAACTTTGATCATTAATAAATTCAAATATAAACTGAAGGTATCAGTTACGGAATTAAGACTTATTTGAAAATTAGACCTAAACCCAAAAATGAGATTAGGACTATAAACTTACTTTGTAGCGCATTTTCTGACAGCTGTGAATATAGTACCCCATGTAATAATACCGCAAATTCTGATTAGTTTCTGCCAACTGACGGATCAAGGCTATCTCGCTAAAAAAAACTGTGCCAATAAAATGGTATTTTAAAACAACTGCCTACCGAAGTGCTCCATAAATTCCTAAGCATAGCTTGGAATACAGAGGATCATAATAGAAGTACTTTGACGAAAGGCCAGTCGGTAAAATATCCACAACGCCGACCGCTATGATTCTACCGTTCAGCCAGTACTGGTGATGAAAAGAACCGTAAATCGACGACTCTTCATCGTTAGCCAAATCACCGCTCTATAAAGATGTAATAGTTTGAACGTAACATGCATAGACTCGTCTTTACAAAACGAACGTCATTCAATCCTTTCAACTTACTTCAATATTATGCCTTCCCAGAAACCTGCTCTGATAGATACAAGGTCATCGACTTCTGGATTTTGCCGTGGTTAGCACCTATTTCCTGCCAGAAATCTAATACCATGACAAACAACCTGTGCTTAATGCATGGCATAGTCTAGTCAAGCATGTGATCGGCATTTTCAGAAATGACACGTTCAGTTTTAGTGTATGACGCATAGTACACTGAATATATAAAGGTCACTAAGCAGTGAAATAACTACATCAACGGAACATCGTTATATGGAAACAGCTAACAAAGAAGAGTTGATTGTAAAGTGAAGTCAAGGCAAAATACGGCTATTCCTTGAGTGAACGAGGAAGACAAAGAAAATGGTCAAAAGAGTATACCGTCCGAAAGAGATCAAAAGTGCACGCCGACTATAGGCAGACAAGAAATTCAAGTTAATAGTGGACAATGCAGTTACGTCAGTTATAATGGAACGGAACCGTACTATCCATTTAGCCTTGTAAAATACTGCAATGTTTAACGAGAGATGTTATATGTCGTTGAATGCTATTTATCACTGTTCGCTACTTCATACTTCGAAGCGTTGCTGGCCTGAGCAATGATGAAACACTCATTCCAGGAGGGTGAAAAGAATTGAAGAGAACCGGGCAGGTGTCTTGTCAGCCTCAAGTGCAAAGCAGAGGACACTTTATTCTGATGAATAATCCGCGAAACATGAGCACCCACCTGGCGGTTTAGCATGCTGCGGCACTCTGCCTAAGTAATAATGCTCAGAACTAAATATTTATG